GCCCAGTGTGTTTTTTAAAAATCTATATTCTATATCAAATATTGTCTCATCGTGACCTCCGGGCTCCATCAATTACAGGGGCTTTTAAGTCACCCACCCTGGGGTTGGGTCTGACAGATGGGCGGCTGGGCAGGAGAAAAATACTTTCCTCTTTGTGTAGTTGATCTTGGAGAACACCTGAAGCATACCTAGCTAGCCTCCAAAATTAATTTTCATCTCCGTAATGGGTTTGTCTCTTTCCCTGCAGACATGACTTGGCTCAAATAGTAAATGTGAGAGGAGAAAAGAAACAGGAGACATGAATCAACCCACTAAAAATCCTTATTTACAGAATATCATGACTCTGATTGCTTTTATGTGTTTGTTTAATATAAGTGATAATGGTTAAACTTTGTGTATGTTGTAAAGCCTGCTGCTTTAATGTAGATGTGGCATTCACTGAGAAACAGACCTTGACAGGAGCCTTTATAAGGTTGTCAGGGGACATCTTGAGACAGAGTATCAGAGAAATAGGATCACTCCACACTACACACAAAGGCAAAGAAAGTCAGTGACATGACCACATATGAAAGGTACATTTTAATCCATTTTGACAAGCCTGCTCACATAGAACAATTCACTTCTTACACATACAAAAACTATTCATACAGTGCCTTGCAAAAGCACTCAGATGCTTAAACAAATCTTTACAAATAATGCACTTTATTTTAAATGCAAATGTTACATTGTTTTATATTTTAACATAAATGTGTTGTTACTAAAAATGCAGTTTGAATAATTGTAACAATTTTGATATTTTTTACAGGTAGAGTTAGTGTCTAAGTGTGCTTTAGATTGACACACTGCCTTGTTCAAGGTGATTAAGGTTTGACTAATGCTTGTGTGCCACACAATTTTCAAATAGTGCCACAGTTTCTTACTTGCAGTGGTGAATGTTTATACTCAGTCATTATATTGATCTGCCACTCAAGTATTTATGTTGAATGTGTTTAAGGTCATTGTTCATTGTTGAACATTATCTCAGTATATTAATACATATTTTTTAAAACTGCAGCATTTTTGCTTGCGGGATTTCTCTATTTCTTTATTCTCCATTTTATGTAGGCCTATTGTTCCTTTTAAAACTTTTCTGTTACTTAAAGGGGTCATATGATGCTGCTAAAAAGAAGTTTTAGGTAGGTGTGGCTGACTCTTAACTTTTATAAAGAATATCTCTTTGGATATGAGACTTTAGTCTTTGCAACTTTACAGATCTTCTTTATGCACCAAGAGCTTGTAACAGTCCAAAGAGAAAGGAAAAATTGAAATCGCATCATATGACCCCTCTAACTCTGTAGCTCTTTCAAAGTAACTGCTAGTCTCTCTGAGGCATCTCTCTCAAGAGTTTGGTTTAAATATGCTTTTTAAAAGTGGTTTGATATAGCCTAGTTTTCACTTGCTGATATTTTGACAGAGACTGGAACATCTCAACGCTTGAATGTTCTTTTGTACCCTTTTTTCTAATTTATGAATTAATTGCATTGTATCTATACATTTCAAAGTTGTCTATCACATTCAGTAATAGGTGTTTTAGGACAACTGCTTCTTGTCTTTTCAAACTTTTCTTATTCTTATCTTAACATCTAACATCTAATTCTTATATTAACATCAGAGAATTTGGTTTGTGTAAAACCTGACGATCATGCTATCCAGCTGATTTGAGAAAGATCCAAATCTTGTGCTTCAACGAAAGCAAGAACATCTGACCATCTTTTTAAAGGTTCTTAACATCTAACATCTAATTCTTATATTAACATCAGAGAATTTGGTTTGTGTAAAACCTGACGATCATGCCATCCAGCTGATTTGAGAAAGATCCAAATCTTGTGCTTCAACGAAAGCAAGAACATCTGACCATCTTTTTAAAGGTTGACAAGCTCAGTGCTCACATTTGCTTATTTGATTAGTGGCTGTTTAAATTCAATAACTTCTTGAACAAACACACAGTTGAACCCCCCCAATATCTGATCTAGCTGAAAATGTGAATGAGAGCGTGCTTCCAACAATATTACTTTCCCCAAGGCTCTATTAACATTCTACTCAGATGTTGATGTTGATGAGATGTTTATTCCCTTGGGTTGGTGCAAGGACAGACCCAGGATAAGATCTGGACCTCCCATTCATCACACCAACAACCTTGCCCACTTCCCATGTTATTGACTGCTTACATGAAGATGAACAATAAATGCAAAGACCTCAGTTGCTCTCCTGAGAATATGACTAATGCGTTTGGCTTGTGCTTTGTGGCGATTTGAACCAAATTCTTCAGGGAGAGAGTGAGATAAACAGAATATCAAAACATTCATTTGTGGCTACACTTCATTCACAACAGCATATTTCGAATCAATAAATGTAGAGGAATATTGTTTCATTGACTTCTCTCAGGGATGTCCTTGAATGCATGTCTCTCTGTTTTTCTGTCTCTCTTTCTCTTTTAGCTATCTCTCATTTCCTCTCTTGCACACACATATTCCGAGGTCTCATTATCCGAAGTCTCAGGACACCTGCACAGATCAAATACACACATTTGTAGAAGTAAATGTTATGGGGATGTATAGCGTAATGATGTTAGCTTATGAATCCTTGGTGCTTATTGAGGGGAAGAGCCACGGAACAATCTCACAGGAGGCGTCTGTGTGATTTCCTCTGTGATTGAAATCCATTAGAGTTTCTGTATCTGTGATACAGGCAGCACTGTGGGGAGATACACTGATCGAGGGGAGGGCAGGAGGAGTGTCGTTGTATGCTATAGATCACAGTCCTATTTTGTGTTTGTCAGTCATGGGCTGCAGATTTAGAAAATCTTCTTAAATCCTACAAAGGCACAGTTTGCCCCCTAAAACCAAACCAAACAACTCCATGTAACAAAAGGGTTACGACTGGAGGAAATGAAGAAAACCGAAGGGTTCTTTCTTTCTTTCTTTCTTTCATGGTCTGCGTGGACCTTCTCAGAGGCAGTAAATGCAGTATCCCACTGTGTTAACTCAAAAAGCCTCTCATGGAAAATGCACATTGTGAGATACAATAGCCAATCTTTCTGACATTTGCCGATTGCCCCCAGATTTCCTCTTGGAAAAAAAATCTACTTAAACTGTCAGCATGTGTGCAGGGCTTAAGCGAATATGTCAAGCCACCACATTCGCTCAAATTGAGAAACCTTATACTATCCAATTCTAGCTGCCGTTTGAGTGGGGTGTTGGTTTGTATTTGAAAATTTTAATTAAAAAAACATTCTCATCGTGAGACTCACTTATTTGAAATGAGCGGAGGTTGAAATCTTGACAGCAGTGCATTATAGCTTGATAGGACTCCTGCATCTTTGCAGTTAGTGCTGGATGGACTAGTTAGGAGGATTGAATTTCTGCACATTTTTAAACTAAAGTCAAGTAGAATTGCACAATATGCATGACCTCACTGGCTATGTTTACATTCAACTGTATTTACTGACAGGCAAGACTCTTGAATTAACCTGTTCATACAACATTTATCCATAAAATCTGGAAAGAGTTCAAAAAATTTAAATTAGAATTTTGTCAATTTAAATGCTAGATAATCTAACATTTGAGAAAAGTTTTTGTGTTGCATTTTATTATTGCACATTTCAGTTTTTTTTATAATTATTTTTTAATGTATTTATTTAATGTTTTTACCCTTATTTGGATTGGATCTGAATAACCTTTAAGTTGCTATGAAAAAGATGTAGCGACAGATCTTTTCTCCCATATTGTGATGTACAGATTGAATGAAAGTGAGAGTGAATGAAAGAGAAAACTATGTAGGACGAGAACTTTGTTCTGGTTGTTGATTGGATGGAGGCAGATCTGATTGTAAGGGTTTAAGTATACAAAGTGACTAGAGAAGTCCGACATTCATCACCAATGAAAAGTCTGTAATTTAAACAGAAGATCGAGTTTTGTCATTTTGTTTAAAATTAGCAAGCCAAAAATGTATAAAAATGAAACGTACATGGATGAACCTTCATAATAAGTCCAATAAGGTGCATTTAGAAAATAGATGAATAAGGTGAACGAAATAGGGTTGACTTGACTTTAATGAGCATAGTAATTGTCATTCTGTTGGTTAGGTGTTAGAAACCAGGGTAATCTGTTTACAAATGGGCTGGCATTAATCTGCATTTATCATTTCCTGCACAAAGCATTTTGTTTCCTTTTCCACTTGCTCATCTGTACATACGCTCACTCACCCATGGGACACTAGCATACAGAAGACTAGATTAGTTACTCCTCAGACAAAGGGCTGTGCACAGAGGTTGACGGCCTTAATTCATTGTCATTAGCAAAGAACGCAGAGTCCTTGTCAAACTCATTAGCTGATAAAAAACACCTTGTGATTCCCATTAAAATCCTCATCCGTCCTTCTTCAGCACGAAAGCTTTTCTCCTTCACCCTGCATCTCTGCACATCCTCCAACGGCTCTCCGGACAGGAAAATAAACGACGGCTTTTATGTTTGACTGAGGGACACATTTGGGGCTAACAATAATAAAGAATGGCTGTGATGCGTGATACATGTCTCTGTTTGTTGACAATTAAAGCCTAGTGCTGCCACAGTGACAGAGCGTCACAAATCATCCGTTTCTTATGGGCATTAGTTTAAGCAATTTAACACATGATGGAATGATTTGGATTTTTGCATTTTCCGAATGGAATGATTAATGTTAATGAAAAACAACAGAAAAATCACTCTGAATAGAGTTCGTAATACTTTAACCCTGAAATAAATCCAGATTTAATACTTTTTTGTGCTTTTGTGTAACATTTTGCACCACGGTACAAAACAACTCAGACATCTTGGTAGAATATCCATTTATTCAAATTCAAAAGACAAAAAGAAATACACATTTGTGCTGTCTGCAGTCTGTGAACAACTCTGCATATATACACTTTATACAGTCATATATATTTATAATCTCATTATTTAGTAAAACAGTACACCGTTGCCCTGTAACTGTTCCCATGAATAATAAATCCCAATCCTCCCCTTCACAGCCCATTAGTTTGGCATTTTAGGATGTAAAAAACACATTTGTTTTGAGGTTTTCAAAAACATTCGTTCTAGGATGCGCCTTGTGCTAAAATTCAAGTCAATATTTTCTATCCAACCGAGAATCTTTCAGCCAATAACTCAAATGGAGCCTACAAAGTGAGGACAATAGCACTGCCTATTAGTGCAATCCACTCGAATGAAGATGTGAAAGAGAGGAGAGCCAGGTCCCCAACAGCAGCATTTGCATCTACGAGCTCTACCCCTTCGCTCTGAGTGGGCACTTTAAAATCTTTTTGAAATCCAGAAGTCACACCTGAGCACATGGTTTTAGCACTGACGGCATTTCTGGGGTGAATATGCCTTTGAAATACACTTCTAGTGTGAGTATGAAAGGCGGTTTTGGTTCAAATTAAGAGATATAAGAAAAGAAAAGAAGCAGTAAGATGAGCAAGTGTTGTAACAAGGAGCGATTACAGGTTGGCGTGGATGTCCTCGTGCCGCAGCACTTTGTAGGTGATCCAGTAGAAGATGTTGAATATGAGGAAGCTGAGAGGAAACACGGCTCTGGATATGGTGTCGATTCGCTTGGCTCGGTCCACAAAACGCTTCCGAATGGCCTCTCCGTCGTATAGCACTTGCACTGGGGGTGGTGGGGCGAATACGTTGGACCCCTCCACAGTTGTCCCGTCTTTTGCTTGTAAGCAATGGCCGAGTCCATACCCACGAAAGTAAAAGCCACGGCTCTCCCGAACAAGATCCTCCTCCTTTAACAGAAGAAAAGCATTTTTAGAAGCAGGCAACAAAGAAAATTTGATAAATACTCCTCTCGCCGCACAATAAAAAGTACCAGTCCATCACAGAAACTGCAGGAGACTGCCACTTTTAAATAAAAGCACTAAAAATTGCAATTGTTGGTGGGCTATACTTTACTTGTTTTAGAAAGCACATACTGGTTTAGTTGTTAGGGGGCAATATATTCTTAAATGCAGATACTGTATGTAAAAAGTGAAATGTCAAGTGAATGAAATCTAACAGTACAGCTTCATTTAGACCCTTTTTATGCAATATTTTAGAGGTCATTACTGGAAAAAGTAATTTTCTTACTCTGTATTTTGTCTTGTTTCTGTGTAAACATTATTAAATCAAGATACATTTACTTTCAAAGCAAAATTACATTAAGTTTTGTTTTTCTGAAAATGTCTAAAGTGAAGAATTTTGATTCCTTTTTTAATATCTTGTATGTTTTCTTCAAAAGTAAATGTTTTTTAATTGAAGAATATTTAGATGTTTGTACAAGGGGAAAAAAGTACATATATTCATTTAATTCATGTAAAAGTTTCTTTTCTTTTTAATCGTTACTAGGCCTGTCACGATAACAACTTTTTGTTGTGCGATATATTGCCCCAGAAATAATTGCGATAAGCGATATTATTGTCATTTTAAAGATCATTTTATGCCACTGAATATATAATCATAATGTAACAGCATAATAATGCAAGAAGGCCTACACACTTCCAAATGACAACAAACTTTTAATTTTTAAGAATATTTAAATCATGGGAATTAAATATCAAAATATTAGATACCTTAAAAAACCTAAATAAATAGTAAATAAACATTTTCTAACAAAACGCGCAAAGTAACAAGTAGAAAAAAAGAAAAATGCACAAAGAACTTGTATGGAGATTTTTCCCAGACCTTCTTTTCTCTGTAAATTAAGGGTGCGCACTATTGCTGAAAAACACAATCCCTACTTAGCAGTCAGATGTCCGTATGCACAAAGGCACAGATCCCTAAACAAGATCATATCTGCAGATTACACTTTTTTTTGTAGAAGCATTTTTTTAATTTGTACTAGCAGCACCTCATGACTACACCACGTTATGTACAAGAAGTTGCAAAAGACACAAGCACAAGTGGAATGTACAAAACATGGTGACATTAATTTTTAAGTAAATATATTGGGCGATATATTGTGTCACCAAAAATGATTGAGGTCATGTATATATATTGCGCGATAAGTCGATGTATTGATTATTGCGACAGGCCTTATCGTTATTTAGTTATTCCGCAATTTTCCACCATGACTCTGATCCTTGGAATTAAATCATCTGTTTTTACAATTACTTGTGTTGTGAGGAAGGGTCATTAAAGTGAAAGGATTCTGCCTTTTCTCTCTTTCTCTCTTGCCATATTATGTTAGAAGTCAGTTGTACATGTAGGGGCAACAGAATGGGATGCGTTCTAGCATTTAATAAGGGCAGACAGAGCTCAGCATAATTTTTTATTTCTTTAATTTTTTTTACAGTTTAACTCTTTTTAATTTGACAGCATCCCAAAGATCTTCATTTTCATTCATCATTCATGTTGTTAAAAAAAAACTATTAAAAAAATTGGTGAAGATGGACACAAGAATGATTCCTGCATGGTTTCCTTACCAAGTATTCCCCTGACGTTTCCACATGTGACACTTTGGCCTAGTTCTTTGCCTCTAATGCCATATAAATTAGTCATTTGGATCAGTTTATCTGTCAATCTATGACAAATTACCCCTTTCCTCGAGAGGATAAGAAGATTAAGTTCTCGTTTAGTTCTTCATTAAATCCTCTGCTTGCACCTAAAAACAATCCAGTCAATCATGTGCCTAGGAATAATGATGTGTTTGGTTTAAGATAAAGACACCCTTTAAAGTGAGTGAATGTCACCTGTGAACACAGTTTAGGTCAATGCTTACCTTATTAATCATGGCCAGGCCGTATCCAGACTCAGAGTCTGAGTCTAGCATGTAAAAAGAACTCTGCTGCAAAAACGATTAAGTATAAAACAAGTCAGTTCCATTTGTATGAGGAATAAGGGCTACTGCACACTGGGGTCACTCAACAAAATCTAAAGGAATCTAAAGTCTAAAGGAAAGAAACATTCTGGGTGGAGGTATGAATACTTTACTATAAGCACATACTTGAGGAATACTCATTGGTGCATTTGCTAAATATACACTGAGAAAATGATCGTAATTGTAATGGTAAAAGTCTGTAAAAATGCTACGGTAAAAAGTGCATAATTGATTAACAGTTCTATACGTTCCCTCACTATACAGTCGAAAAAAAACTAATAAATCTAAGTAATAATTTCAAGTAAAATACTGTTAAATTTACAGTTTCAGAAAAATCTGTAAATTGACAATTTGACAATTCTTTGTGGAACACTTTACATTTGACATTTTCTTTTGAATTTTTTTTGTTTGTATCAGTTATGCACATTACGGTGTTAGGTTATATCTTAGTATCATAGTATATTATCATAGTACATAGTATATTAATATAGGCTACAGTCTATAAATTTAAGTTAAATCCATAAAACCTACAGTGTTTCTACTGTATTTTTTGCAATATATTTCTGGCAACCACAGCTGCAGGGTTTTTTTTTAACCATAAAGTTTACACGTTTTTATTTGCTTTAATGGGTATAAAGGAAGTGTGTGGACAATAATGCCCTATTTTACACCTGGCATTAACATTAATTTCTATATCCAATCACAAGTGATCACAGGAGACGCATTACTTTCAGGAATAAACGACAATTGTAAGCGATCACTTGAGAAGTATGTTTATACCAGCTGTGAACTGGGCCAGTAGGACAGAGGGGGTTCTGGGTTTATGGGATTCAGTGTTTGCTCGTGGGCAAATAAGATGGGGACACAGATGGTATTTTTACCCTGGCGCAGGTGTTACAGTGCTGGTTGAATTTGCTGGCGCTGTTGCCAGGGAGCTTGTTCACTCTCCGTAGTGAGTCGAAGCTTCCTGGCTGCATTGCTTGATCCTTCATGAGGAAGAATGGCAGTGAGCATGGTGCATTGTGAAATGTTCCTGTTATATAACAGTTTGGAACATCTGTCTCGTTCTTTCTCTAAATTAACTCCTGGGGATCAATAGAGCACATCCATCCATCCATCAAGCTGTCATTCTTATGTATATTGCACAGTTCAGTGCATTTTCAAGCATCAAATAGTGCATAACATTATATAGGCAGGCTGAGCAGACTTATTTTCATTAATATTGGCAACTGTGTAAATACTTCAACAAGAATTTAAGAGACAACAGCTATCAAGCCGCTGCTCTCCAGCACCATCCAAGTTGCTAGGCAACACTACTTGTGAGTGTACACTTCTTTGCAGGCTCCTGAGGGATTCTCCAATAAAGTGCACACTCAAGCTAAATCCAACCATTATCTTTCAGACTCTTCAGCAAAACTTGATAAAGTTTTTAGACAAGTGGATAATGGTCATGCTGATGTTTAAGACACATCTGTACTAATCAGCAGAGATCAACATTATTTTGATTTTTTGGTAGATTGATTCTGTAATTGTATTTTTTAAT